AGATAAATGAGAAATATTGTACTTGTTATACAAATAGAGACACAATTATTACATGTGATATAGAATCATCTTAGATGGTTCCAAGTTAAGTGCAATGGAGCCCAAGGATCATATCTTAAGATCATTTAGGTCTGTTGTGTCTTAGAATCTTATGAGGTATATTCATGCATATGTTTTGATAATTAACTCAAATGAATAAGCTTAAGAGCTAAAATTTATGCAATATTGAATTTGAAAATGACTTTTATTATCCAAATATCATTTCAATTGTTTAAATATTTTTTGTAACAAATAAAATTATTTTTATATATCTTTTTAATTTTTTTGTATTTCATGCAAAATTAATTAAATTATTGATAAATAATTACATTACATTTTTTTTTAATCATATTTCTTTGTTTTAATTACATATTTGCATTATATAAACACACATTACATGTAAGTATATTTATAGATATGTATGCATGTAAAGCCAAAATTTTCTTTAAAACCTAATAAAAAAAAAAAAACTAATTTCCTCACCTAATTTTCTATTGAAGTCTGCAACTAGGGCCTTCAAAAAAGCTCGTTGTTCGCGAACAACTTGTGTTCAGCTCGTTAAGTAGTTCGTGTTCGGCTCGTTTAATCGTTCGTTAAGTAAACGAGCCGAACACAAACAAGTTTTTAAAGCTCGAATTATAAACGAGTCGAAAATTATGAACGAGTCTAACATGAACAACTTTTTGTTCACTCATGTTTGGCTCGTTTTAGCTCGAAGTAAAAAAAAACTATACAATTATTTATATAATAATATATTACATATATTATTTATTTAAATCATAACACCTCTTGTGGTAATGTGGTTATGTTCCTTTCTTTTTCATACATTTGGTTCAAGTTTGAATACAACATTTTATATCTATTTTTTTCAATTTAATTTCAACGAGCCAATTTCGAGCAGAACTCGAACACGAATATTTAAATCGAGTCAAACACGAACACACTGTTAACGAGCCGATTTTGAACACGAGCCGATTCGAATAGGTGGAACACGAGCCATATTTGAGCTCGCTCAAACTCGGCTTTTTTACGGCCCTAGAGATTAGGTTTAAAAAATTCATTATTAAAAAAAAAAAGAAATTCGCTCCTATTATTTAAAAAAGCAGGAAGATAGCTGACAGGTTTGAAATTGTCTATGCGACGCGAATAAAAATCTCAGTGTGGAAAGGAAGACATAGCCAGGGAAGAGATGGGGGCTTCTCATTCGTCCCCGAACGCCAACTCGATCCATGAATTCACTGTCAAGGTGAGCGATCCCTTTCTCTTTTCTGTTTTATTCGATAATTTTGATTCAGAATTCCAGATCACCTGTTAAATTTCTCCTTCTTTTTATGGGTTTTAGGATAGCTCTGGGAAGGCCGTGGATCTAGGGTTCTACAAGGGCAAGGTCTTGCTTGTCGTCAATGTCGCCTCTAAATGGTTCTTGCTTTCTTTCTTCTTCTCCGCCTTTCGGTCTTCCTTTTATTTTAGATGGTTTCATTTATTTCCCTTTTGTGCTATGGAACAGTGGCTTAACGGATAGCAATTATACCCAGCTGACCGATCTCTACAACAAGTACAGGAACAGAGGTTTTTCGTTTTTCTTCGCCTTCCTTCTTGCTATTATATGATATTACTTTTGTAAAGAGAGGTTGCTTTAATGTTCATGGCGTTTATGGGATTGAATGGAGGAATCTCATTGCGTTTCGGTGATAGATAGGAAGGAATTTAAGTCCCATGTTGCTTATTTTGCTTTTTTAGTCTCCTGTATGAAAGGAAACATAAGACATGAACCTTTCCTGAAATTTGTGATGATTATCGCTGTGCTTGTTTTATTATTTTGAACTAATGGGGGATTTCACTGTTTTTATGTTACTATCAATCCATTTTGTTTGTGTTGAGTGTATTTCACTGTTTTTAAGTTACTATCAATCTATTTTTTTGTGTTTGGTGATATGATTTCAGTTAAACGATACTAAATTACTCTGTCATAGCATCCAGAAGATAGCAGTAGTTGGCCACCTTTTAGAGACATTTGATGTTTTCCATTACGGTTCTTGGTGGGAAACTTTTCAATGCATGATGAAGTTCAGTTATTTTTTGTAATTTTACATTCATTATGTTGTGTGGAATGTTGTATCTTTAGTCTGGCATTGCATTCAACAAGCTAGTTTCTTAAGCATCCTGAAGTAGGGGTCAGTATTTGGTTGCTTCGATGGATTGATTTTCAAATTGGTCACACCGATTGCAACCAAAATATGTATTCTGATGAGCCAATCAAAATTTTGATAAGCCAAACACTTTTGGTTTAAATGGTTCGGCTATGAAAAAACAAAATTTAGTTGTTAGTGGGAGCTTGGTTATAAACAAACACCAAGAATTACATATACTTCATAAATCCTCCATTTAATCTTGACATTTCAATTTTTTGGTTTGTTCAATTAAATAAAAATTAATACCCAACTAATAACCAAAAATTAAATATTGAGGTTTTAAAAATTATATACCGAAATGTATTTTGAAACCCAACCAAACCAACCAAATTGAATCGTTTCAATTTGGTTTTTCAGTTTTGACCAATTAACGCACACGCTTATCTTGAGCATAATATGACAATGGAATATTTATATGAAATTGGTGTCCACTATTATCGTGCTTGGTTGAAATTTATCAGTTTTTTTTCTTTATGTCCTGCTGTGTTTTTTCATTAGTCAAACATTGCATTCAGCAAGCTAGTTTGTTGGAGCATCTTACCTCATTTTCTGAATTTTTTTCCTGAAGAAAATAAGGTTGTGCTTCACATGTGACAAATTGAGCCCAAAAAAGTATGTCTTTCAATTTAGGTATTGCAGATAGCTTACTTTCTTGCTTTTCTTTTACAACGTGTGGACTACTCGATTTCTATCATTCATTATTATTTGCACGTGTTAGTGTGTTACAGCTTCAGAATGCAAGATTCTGGAATTGTTTATTAGTGTGTGAGCTTCTTTGTAAGTTTTGATTGTCACTGACATAGTAAAGTGGTTTTCGTACATTAATTTGGTAAGTTCTCCATTTAATTTTCGTTCTCTTTTGGAAGTTTTTCATGTTGAAAATGTGAGATACTAACATTTTTTACTAGAAATTGAAACTGTATAAATTTTAAATTTCATCACTTGTAGGAGTCCTACTACATTTTTGGTTTGACAAGTTACTCTCCATTAGATTCTATGCTTACAAGTCTAAGATAAAAATGAGAACCTATATATTGGTTTTAACTTCGTTAATCATATATTTTTTTTGTATGTATTTGTGAATTGGCAATTGTTCTGAATTTTAATTGACGTGGGGTGTCTCCAGCTTACGAAGCAGAAGCAGCATGCTCGCGATCCCATGACCGCGTGCATGCTCGACTCAGGCGAATGACCTAGAGTACCGAGTGGACTCGTTTCGATCCCTTTCCAAATTTTAGCAAGTGTTCTCATTTTCTTTCATTTATTTCTAGACCTTTCCTAAATGTGTGTTGCATTATGTTTAGATTGGAGTTTTCTTGGTATTTTCTATTAGGATAGCTGCCAATGTCTACGGTTTCCCCTTCTAGAGTTGTATCCGACGGAGAGAGGGTGCTCCAGCTATAACTCATCCTAGTTGGTTATCTCCTTCAAAGGGATAGAGTGATACTCGACTGTAGCTTGCTCCCAAGGGGTTATTTATCCTTCCCCAACTCTTCTGCAATCATTACTGCCATTCCCTTTGCTGTTGTAGTCCCCGGAGAGCTCTCCCCTTGCTGTGTCGTAGTCCATAACCCTTTCCTTTTGTTGGCCCTCGCTGTCCTAGCCCTCCACTTCACTGCCCCTTACTTTACCAACCCTCCACTTCGCAGCTACTTTACCAACCCTCCACTTCGCAGCTGCTGCCATTCCAAGCCTTCCGCTTTACTACCAACGCAATTTCAACACTTTTTTTTTTGTTGTCCCAACAACCCACTACCCATTTCAGCCATTTACCATCACTTCCTAGCCATCTAGCCGATCTTTACTGCCCCAGATCAAGCCCTAGCGTGAGTTTGTGTCGTGTTTATTGTAATTTATCTTCTAAGTGTGTTTGATTGTAATCCTTTATTTGCTTTTAGTAGAATTATTTGCTTTTCCTATTATTTTTTAGGTTAACTTCATTATCATTTAGTATTAGAGTTAGTCTAGCCTTAGTCCTATCCTAGGATTTTTAGCATCCACCATACCCAAACCTATCTCCAACCCCCCACCCCACACCAACCCCACTTGAAAACTTTTTTTCTCTTCCACTCAAACCATCCTTACACCCTACATCATCCCTATACATAATCGCGCCACCGCAGAGAGAAGTGTTTGATGGCAATCAAGGGTTTATCATTGAAGAGATACAACTCTGTCAAGTGCTACAATGGTTCAATAAAGTTGAGGAAATTAGACCATCCAATGGGGTCACTTGAATTCCATTCAATTATAGAGATGAAGTGCTCGCCAGAGAATACAGAGATGAAGTGTCTATTAGAGGATACAAATGTTAATTGCCTATTAGGATTTGAAAAATGAAGAGCCTCTAACCTCAAGCATTGAATGAAATATTTGAGAAGCCATTATTTTGAGATAATGAAGAATTTATCACATTTTGATGGTCACTTGGATCCATACGAGTTCATCCAGTGGCTTCAGATTGTGGAACTTTTCTTTGAGTACTAGGATGTACCACTGGACGAAATGGTGAAACTAGCTGCAAATTAGTTAAAGAAGAGTGCATTATTTTTGTGGCAAAATTTGAAGCATTTATCCCAACCTAATGAAAAAGATAAGATCACTATTTGGTTCAAGATGAAATGGGAGATGCGGCTTAAGTACATACCAATTCACTCTGGACCGGATGTCTACATCTCAGCTTCAAAAGTGAAAAGGCAACATTATCGGATGACTACCACCCCCTACATGTAAAGTTTAGCCCTAGGATCGAGTCGCAAGAGTGTACCAAGGGGAACATCTAAGCCAGCGCTTAAGGAGTAATTGATTCAAAGTAGAGAATAGGTGGAGCGAACTGAAAAAACTAAATTTGTTCCGACCAAAAAGTGTTTCAAGTGCCACGGATTTGGGCATATTGAACCAAATTACACAACCAGGGGAGTAATCTACTTTACTGTGCAGGGTGATGTTCAAAAATTGGTTAAAGGCATTGTAGACACTGAAGAGCAATTCGAATGAAAATTTTCATCCGATGATGTTTTTCCCCATGGAACACTTTTGTTCGTTGATATATCCAATGCAGAAGAGAGATTCCAGCTAAGTTAACAATAACTATTCTAGAAAGTAGTGACTCTAAGATAATTGGCATCCATGCATAGTATGAGATTTGGCGTATCGAGCTATCATCTTGCAGACATTGAGGGGAGCATCAATTTAACTGACATTGGATGTCCAAAAGGCTCATGAGTTTGAGGAGTTAATACGAGACACACAACGACTTTAGATAAGAGGATTTCGAAATTTTTAGATACATAACTAACCTTCTGAGTTTCCCCTACTGAAGGAGATCCAACATGCTAGTGATGAGACTCTTTTATGCCACTTGTGGAAGCTATGTAGAGTCATTTGAGTATTAAAATTAGTTTAGTAGTGTAGCCACCGACATATGATTACACTGGATGGATGAACCACAATGCTAGAAACCGCTTTAGGATTTTTGAGAGAAAGAACATCTTACAGTGAGATCGAGGTTCTGTCAAAGAAGAAGAAGAAGAGATCTCTCCTAAGCGGTTATACTTTAGTGTGGTCCAGTCTGCCTAGATTTCGTCACAAAGTTGATTTCTTATGATAGTTCTGATAATTATCAAATACATTCAGCTATGTACGATAAAAGTGAGAGAGGAATGTTACAGATGTAAGGGCTTGAGAGTTATCTTGTAGGAATCTACAACTTTATGCAGCTTCAGCCCAAATTATGCCAAAAGTGAATGAATACTTATTCTATTAGGGTGTGCTTTGAAATGAAAACACCTGTATGAGTAACTTACCGAGAATTTACTATAGCTCTATCACCTTCAGCGTGACCGACCAACACCATATCGTGAGAAGTCAAAAGCTATGACAAATGAGTTTGAAGCTCTCCCAACCTCGAGAGACTGATGCGGGGCATTTTCTGCTTATGAAGTGAACACAAGATTGTGCGATGTTGTAACCATGCGCGTGCTCGGCTCACACAGGTGATCCAAAGCCCAACCAAATGACCCCGTTTGAATTGTTTTTCAATTTTTAGCAAGTTTTCTCCATTCCTATCATTCATTTCTAGTTCTTTTCTATATATGTGTTTCATTAGAGTTAGATTAGAGTTTTCTTGGTGTTTTTTATTATGACAACTGTCTGTGTCTAGGGTTTCCTTTTCTAGTTTTGTATCCAAAGGTGAGAAGGTGCTCCGACTGTAGTTCATCCCAGATGGTAATCTTCTTCAAAGGGATTGAGTTGTACTCCGTCTATAGCTCGCTATCGAGGAGGCATTTATCTTCTCCAACCCCTCCATAGTCATTCCAGCCATCCCCCTTACTTTTGCCGTCCTTGGATAGCTCTCCCTTTGTTGTCCTGCAATCCAAAACCATTTCCCTTTGCTCCCCTTGCTGTCTCAGCCCTTCACTTCACTATCACCGCCATTCTAGGCCTTCCGCTTTGCTGTCAACGAAATTCCAGCCCCTCCTTTTGCTGTCCCAACAACCCACAGTCCATTTGAGCCTCTTACCACCACTCTCGACAACCTAGTCAATCTTCAACACCCCCGAATTGAGCCCTAGTGTGAGTTTATGTTATGTTTGTGATAATTTCTCTTTCAAGTGTGTTTGGTTGTATCTTTTTGCTGATGATATCCTTTTCGTGGATAAGACGAGAAAAAACTTGAGAAAAATTGAATTATGGAGCTCTACCTTGGAGTCTAAAGGCCTTCGTTTGAGTAGAACTAAAACTGAATACATGGAATGTAATTTTAGCAGCAGTAGCTCTAGTGACAGAAATGTAACTATGGGTGATCAAATTATTAAAAAGTGTGAACGCTTTAGATATCTCGGGTCTATTGTTCTAAGTGATGATGGTATTGATGGAGTTGTTATTAGTAGAATTCAAGTTGGTTGGTTGAAGTGGAGGAATGCTTCGGACCTACTCTGTGATAGAGAAGTACCACTTAGACTACAAGGAAAGCTTTATAAGATGGTGGTGAGACTTGCAATTCTCTATGGCGTTAAATGGTGGCCTCTAAACTAGAAGCATAAAACTAAGTTAAGTGTTGTCGAGATGAGAATGATTAGGTGGATGAGTGACTTTACACTTAGAGACAAAATGTGAAATGAATATATCCATGATAGGGTTGGTGTAGCTCCAGTGACAGACAAAATAAGAGAGTGTCGTTTTTGATGGTTTGGTCACATTAAACGTTTATCATCTGATGATCCAATTAAAAGATTAGATGTTTCAGATTCGACTTATGTTAAGAAAGGCAACGTAGACCTACGATGACTTGTGCATATTGTATAAAAAATGATCTTAATTTATTAGAATTAAATGAAAATATGACACTATATAGGACCCAACGGAGAAAAAGGATTAAATCAGTTAAATCTTTAGTGTAGTAGATCTAGTTGATGGTAAAATAGTGTTCAATGAGAGCTGATCTCTTCTATTTGTTGTCCTGTTTTAGATTTTGAGGTTTTAGCCTTTCCTTGTAATCAATTTTTGAAACAAGAACCTGGAACAAGCCAGGAGGCAATGGAGTTTGCATGTACAAGGTACAAGGCGGAGTATCCAATATTCCAAAAGGTAAGCTAATCGCATCAAAACTGTTGTTAATTTTAATCAACAAAATTTTGTTCCTTATTTTTGAAGGATGTTTCATTTGATGTTCAATTTACAGAGTTGCAAAGGACTGAATCTTCTTTCATTTTCTCTACTTTATTTTGCTGGAGTATGTTTAACCTTGTTGTTCATTCTCAATACTTTCTTGCTTATTTGACTTCTTTTCACCGTGAATTTTGTTATTGTATGCATATACCCTCGACCATCCTATTTGAAGATAATATCATAATTACAATGATATTTTGAGATAAATATATATATTTTTTAATTTGTGGTAAACCTTAATATATGGTGCAATATTTTGGACTTGTCAAAGATATCTCATCAGAAAGCACAACTACGATTATGTCTTCAACCACTATGCATTCTGTGACTCTTTTTTTCCAACCCTAATGCAAGGCAAAGTAGGGCTTGTTATGATAATGGATGAAAAGGGCTAAATTTAAATTTTCAAAAGAAATTCAATTAAAATTTTCAAAGATGGGGAAAAACAAATTTAAAAAGATTTACTTGGAAGATTGAAAGTAATACAATGAAGGACTTCAGGGTTTTAGCTAGATTTGATAAAGTGTCTACAAGCTAAACTAGACAAACCAAAAGATAAAAAATAAAAAATAAGAAATAAAAGAGAAATTAATGCTTATTTATGTTGACTTAAGCTAACCTGTGAAAAATTAGCTTTAGATGAAATTCTAAAAAGTGGTTTAAAGAAGAAGAGTATATGTAAATGAGAATGACATCAAAATATGATGAATGATGATCTTGGTACTCCACAAGCAACTCTGGGAATTGTTATAATTTTTGAGTTATCAACCACTAGTTTTAAAGAGGTGAGGCGCCTTTCCATCAAGCTAGGCATCAATGAATTCCACCTTTAGTAATGAAAATAATTTGGTCATCAAGAACTTGTTCTAGGATATGAGAATGTAGTCAACAAGTTCATAGCAACTCCAATGTAGAAATAAATATAGAGGTAGTCACCAGTATCTTGGGAGATGATTTTGGTGGTCACGAAACTTGCAGAGGAGAGAGAGGTAATATCTCTCGATATGGAGTCAAATTGGCTACTTTGAACTTTGATGAAATACCATTATTCAAATGCAGATATAACTCATAAATATTGTTACTTATTACCCGTACACTATTGTATTGCTTAAATTTTGATGCTGATAACTTCCTAAGAGTTCTCATAAAAATCTCTTTGGTAAAAAATCTTTATGTGAATCTAGATCAAATCTATATTTTAGGAAGTTATTGCCATATTGGTTTAAATTTCTTTGTAATGATTTTCATTCTTTGGACAAATGATCATATAAATTCATTGTATTTATATGACGTAGATAAATATACTACATGCATAGGCTGTATGTGGAAAGTTGCAAATGTTATATTTAAATTCAACAAAGAGCAAAACCATTTATCTACTAATTGTTTGTTCTATCACAAGGCACTTTAGAAGGTCACTTAAGTTTCTATTGAAAACTTCAATTTGATCTTTTGTCTGAGGATGATAGTCAATAAATAAGTGGAATTTTGTGTCTAATTTTTTTCATAAATTTCAAAAATAATTCATGAACCAAATAATTAAGTCAAAAACTATATTCTTAGCATACTTTGTAATGTCGCTTCACTAAAAAAATAGTGAAGCAATAAGAAATGCATATGATGTTTTATAATAAAGGATAAAATTTGTAATTTTAGAAATGATCTATTACTACAAATTTGCCTAGACACCATATGGGGCTACTTGAAACAAAAGTTCGTGTTCAAAGGTTTATGTGGGTTGTGTAGGATAGGAAGAGAAGTACATAAATTAAAAATAGACTTTCTACCCTTCACTGACAAAAGCAACATTGGCAATGACACATGCTACTTCTTGCTTGAGACTCGGACAAAAGAAAGGATTTTCAACCATAAAAATGGTCTTATCTCTAAGTCTAACTCCTTAATGAGAAAGGCATGGTGAATACCTAAAGGATATATCCTATGCATATCTAATAATCTAGAAGGATAATAAATTCTTGGTGAGATAGGAATGTACAAATTTGACTAAAATCTTGACAAATGAGGCATTGGAGATTATTTTATCAAATTTGATCACCTTCAGAATCATGGTGTTGGAAAATGTTGGCATTCAACTAACTGTGTTAGCTTTTGTCAAAAAATGAAGGTATACTCTTGAATAAATTGCACCCACTCTTCCAAAATTTGAAGGATTTGAACTTGATGCTTTTTCAATTTATACATTTGATCTTCTGGGCCTATTTTTGTTTGGTTATGATGTTAGTTGCAAAATTTATACTTAGATTAGTTTGTGTTTAGAGTGAGAAGATCCATTGTTGTAAGCATTGTATGCTTATTAGCCATTAGATAAGTGTTTGTCAAATGCTTTTAATGTTACCATAAACAATGCCAATCCATTCTGTACTAAACAATTCACAACAATAGAGAGAAAGTTTTGTCTTCGTTTTACATGAAGATCTTTTTACATATTAAGACAAGAAAATATTCATAAGATATATTTTATTTTTATAAAAACCCTTGAAAGGGAAACTTCACTTGACTTAACTTAGTTGAAATAATCTATTATATAAATGAGTTTATAGAAGTTTACCCTTCTTATTTAGAGAAGATAAGATTATAAAGTATGGAACACAAATTCAATTCCTTATGAATGTGGCGGAGAATGTTAGGGTAATACTAAAAATTGATGATTGTGCCTAGGCATCATTGATCAAGTAATGGTGGTTTGCAATAGTTGTTGGGTATTAATGGGCAAGCTTTAAAGATCAAACAATTGTGGTCGAAATATAGTGAATGAGCTATGAAAGTTGGGCGACATTGGTCATTCCATAACAGATGTTATGATTATTGGACGAAGGTAGTCGAATAGCGGTAATCGAGAAATGATGGCTAGACAACAATGGTTGCTAACGATAATCATTGGATTTGAATGTCAGATTTTCCAAATCTATAAGCTCATTATAAATTAATGTGTTTTTCTTGTAGAAAATAGGAGTCTATTTATAATTTTTTAGATTAGCATTTTAATAATTTTAATAACATTCCATCAAATTGTTTGTATTGCTTGTGATTTAGATTGTTTTTTTCCATCATTTAGGTGTTTTTAATGATCTTAGAATTTCATGATATTTAACTTCGTTGAATTCCTCTTATTGAGATTCTTTTTTAAGCATATAATATTTGAATAGCATTTGGTCTATCAATTAATGTTATAAAATTTCCAATTGTATCAAGTGCTAGATTTGGCCTTGTTTGTATCCTATGTTGATACATTCTTTTTTCTTGTGCTTCTCTCATCAAAGTATTCAGTTCAATTATTTATTAAATTTAAAGTAGATTTCGGTTGGTTTTGAATTTATTTATGAAACTTTTAAATTAAAATATTATATTGATATTCATATTTGTTCAAATTGTTTTTTTTTTGGTATATCAAATATAAGGGTTAAATTCTAAAATGGTCTCCCGACTATTTTGATGTTGCCAATTTAGTCCCAAAATTTTATAGTGCTCAAATTTAATCTCCCGAGTATTGAAATTGATCTCAATTAATTTTTTAGGGACTAAATTGGTATCAATTTCGTATGGTAGAGGGATCCCCCAACTATTCAGTTATAGCCATTTTAGTCCCAAAGTTTTGCCATGCTCAACTTTAGTCCCTCAGGTATTGTTATTGATCTCAATTAATTTCTTAGGGACTAAATTGGGTTCAATTTTGTTTAGTAGAGGGACTAAATTGGAATCACTTTTGTGTTATGATTTATGCACTAGGGACCATTTTGAATCAATTTTCTAGATTAGACGTGCAGCGGTCAGTTTTTACTTGCAGAGGGTGCCAATCTTGACACTGTAGAGGCAATGTTTTAAAAAATGAATTTGGTAGTTGATGCATTTTGTCTTACGTTGACATGTTGTAAGCCACAAGGTGCAAGTCTCAAAGTAGAAAACATTCATAAAATTTAAAATAATTCATAAATATAAAATAAATCATTGATATATTGATTTAACTTTCTGTAAAGAAAACATAAATCACATATCTCAATTTTAGATGTTGATATAAAATGAAGGTTTGAAATTAGATTCAAGGTAAGCATTTACTTAAAATTTAAATACATTATAGAATCAAGATTTACTATGTTTTAAATTTCGTTTTCATCATCTTTAGATGGATTATCATATGTAATTATTTTGCTATCATTTGATTCTGTCTTGTCATTTTTTCAAATCTTCTTTAATCATTGCATTTTTCTTTTTTATTCTACATAATAATTTACATTAGATCATATATAATTTAAAATAACAAATTATTAAAATAATAATTTAATCATATTTTAAGTTACCTTTGACTTTTTCGATTCATTGTTTTTGGATATAAGTATAATATAATATATATTAATAATCAAATATAATATAACATAATATTTTATTAAATAATTTGATTGTGTCGTCGTCTCATGTGCCTTTGACAAGAAATGCGCGAGTCTCACTGGTGATAGTGAGGCTCAAGCCTTGAGGTTTTTTATTTTATTTTATTTTATTTTATTTTTGCGCCTTAATTTGAGGCATGCCTAGAGTTGTGCTTCGTGACCTTTCAAAGAAGCGTTAGAGGATATCACGGTTGTTGACAGTTTTTTGTAGATGGCTTAATAGCTTGCAATCACATAGTGGGTATTTTTTATAGTGTTTTTTGATGAATTAGGTAGTCAGCCAAGCATGGAGGCGTAGATGGAAAGCTAGGAAGAAATTTCTCATGTGTGCAGAGGTGCATATTGCTGGAGAAGGAAGTTGCAAGAGGAATCAAAGGAAACCGGCAATGCATGGATTACATCATTGTTGAGGAGAAGGATACCATTGTGAGAGATCTCATGTAAGCTATAGCTTTGAGCATGAATGTTGATCATAGCAGTTAATGATCAACCTCGGTATAGGTAGTTTTTAGAGTTGGCGAGGAAGCGGGCAACTATAAAAGAAAATCAGGAGAGTATTAATATTTATTGGGGAGAAAGTGGATGGGAATGGCTGGGATAAAAGGGGACACTTACAGTGAGCACAAGATTCCATCGATGATTATATGGTTTTCTATGAAGAGATAATGATGTTATCTAATTTCAATTCCATCAGAAGTTGAGGTGCTGTGTTTGGATTTTGGACTCAGTTGGAGGATGACTCACTTGGACAAATGCAAGCACGAGTAGAGGCTTGGCATATTTAAGCGATCAATGGTGGGTTGCGAGCACAAGGATGACATTGAAATGGATCTTGGAAGGCTATAATATCACATTTGAATGAGAAAGTTAATAAGAATTAAATCTTCATTGAATTGTGCAGCACAAACATACATGCACGAATATAGGCAGGAGAAACAAGAAATGAATATAAAATATCCTTAATAATTGGTGACTATCAAAATAATGAAGATCCTTGCTATATGTAATTTGGCTTATTTAGTAGTATGCAATGTATTAATGATAATCCTGTCTTGAGCTCTGCATGATTTTTTTTAAATCTCTAATTATAGGGATGTCACTACCTGTCATTGGGTTATAGTGTTTTTTTAGCTATTATGAATCATCTAGAGTACTTATTTTAGATGCCATTGTCTTAGTTAATCTTTTCTCAAAAATGCCAATAATTTTCTTTAAAATAAGCCTATGATTTTTCTTTGCATTATGTACTGTTGCGTCATTTGTTCTTTATTAATGTTTGAGACGTCAAATTTTTTCGTACAAATTGATAAATACAACTTTTCCACCGTAGCAATTGTTTCAAAGGCAATGGCTATATTGAGAAGTAGCTTCATTGTTATTATTAATTCTTTCATTCCTTCATATAACGATTTATGAGCTGATGCAGTTAAGTTTTATCCTGTATGTATCAGAGCTCACGTATGATCTATCATTTATAATTGACTTGCCACTAGCATCATATTTTTATGATCCACAATAGTTCCTGATTATACTTTTTTTCTCAGGTTCGAGTGAATGGTCCTGATACTGCTCCAATATATAAATTTTTAAAAGATAGCAAAGGCGGCTTTTTTGGATCTCGAATCAAGTGGAACTTCACCAAGTTCCTTGTAGATAGAGATGGCAAAGTATTGCATCGTTATAGCCCTACAACAACTCCTCTGGCCATTGAGGTAATGCGTTCATCCTCTTATTAGACCTGCTATGAAAATTTATGATAAATCTACTTAAATCTTTTGGCAGTATAAAAGTTTTTGGATTGGAAATATTTACTTTCGAAGTTCTTACAGTCTTATCATGATCTTCCAAGTCATTTGATGGTTGAATTGGATCGAAATGTGTTATTCTTTTTATAGAAGCACGTGATTATTTTATTTTTTTATTTTGGGTGTTCCTCTTGTTTCTCTTCACGCAAAATTAATGGCTTCTCTGATGCTATCACATGAAAAAATTTGCAGAGAGACATACAGAAGGCACTTGGAGAGATATAGGTAGTCTACAATCTGAAACAATGCAGTAAGGCGTTAATACATCTGATACCGAGTTTGTTTATTTTTTTATTCGTCTTATTTGTCATTGCAGTGGGAATTCATACATGATATGTATTATAACTTAAGGCGTTGAACATGTTGAATGCCCTTGGAACATTGATAGCTTAGGTTGTGTTAAATGGCATCTGGTATTCTTGTGATTTTGTGAACGAGACTGTCCTGTGTTTTTTTGGATGGCTATGGCGATTATTAAATGACTTGGCTGGGATTTAGTGATTGAGTTTTGTGGGCGTGAGTATGGTCTATGTATTTTTTTGTAGGAGTGATTATTATTTGAAAATTAAGGACTCATAAGATCGGATAGGTTTTGGGTTTGGATTGGGCTATAATTTATGTAAACTGGTACTGATTAGTCTTATATATATATATATATATATATA